TAATTTAATTATATATATATATATATATATATATATATATATAATTAAATTAGATTCAAAATTAATTTCCCTATACATAGCACTTAACTTTATTTTTCATTATATCTTCAAGTATCAAATTAATCACCCAATTACTTCTCCAAAACAAATGGCATAACCCTCAAACATTTCTGATTCCAGATCATTATATTTAATAGCCCTATATGTCAGCATTAACTTTCAAGTACACTCATAAAATCTGCGATACTCTTACCATCTGCGTTTAAGTGGTAACCCACTTTTCCACTTTTACGTTTCTTTTTTCTCTCTGCTCTTAGAGTCAGAATATGTCGAGAATTACTTAAATAAAGACCTTTTTTAAAGATAAGTCTGATTCTGGCTCCAAAACATGCCATATATATATTTCTGCGTATATGGATGAGGAGAATGTAAAGTAATTTTAAAATGGAATTTTATATATATTAACTCAAACATAATGATATTAAAGTTTTGTATATTTTTAAAGAATGGCAACTTGGCTTTCAATATTGATTGTCATTGCTCGGTGGTACAATATGATGGTGTTTGTGCTATCGTCAATCAATTATACCATTAGATTGAGACTGATATTTTCTGTTAAGATGGAATATGATAAAATGAGACAGTTGCATAAGTGTGATCTGGAGGAAGATAGGGGGCGCAGACAACATGAGGCAGCATGCAAAAAAATTATGAATAAAATAAAAAAAAATTATAAATAAAATAAAAAATAAAAAAAAAATTATAAATAAAATAAAAAAAATAAAAAAACGTTAGCTTCTTGTTCGTTGGTTAATGAGAAATTTTCGAGGTTAGGAATACATGATAATCAAAACATTAAAAAATGTAAAACGCGTATTATTTGGAATATTGGATTTGTAGGGAATTATTATGATGTATCGAAGTGGAGGAATTAGGAATCGAAATGTAATTATTTTAAATATGACGAAAAAATTGATAACAGGTTTCATAGTGATTCGGATCACATAAAATTAAGATTTAGAAAATGTGGGGATAAAAGATGCAAAACCTGCCCCATGATGCAACATGAACAGAACAATGAAGAATCAGAATTTAAGTTCTGTAAAACATTCAACATATAAATGCAGTT